AGGGCTTAGGGTATTAGGGTTAAGGGTTTTAGGGTTTAGGGTTTCAGGGTTTAGGATTTAGGACCTCTGTCGCCCTGCCAACAGGAGAGGGTACACCTGAAAGAGCCCCTTGGCCTGCTTCTTTGGGGGCTTAGGATTAACTTCTTCGTGGTTAGCGGTTCAGGGTTAAGGGTTTTGAGTTTTGGTGTTTCTTTTTTAATTTTGGGTCAGGGAATGAGGGAGCAGATTCTATAGGGGTTACATAGGGAGTGTCTTCCCTTATTCCCTCCTAACCCACGGTAAGTTCAAGTCAAGCCAGGGCAGTGGAGTGTATGCATGCCATGTGGTTCAGGGTTTTGGAGCGCGGTATGCACGAATGGGCCGCTAGGGTTTAGGATTTAGGCTTTGAACTTAGCCTACTTCAAGCGCATCCAGCGGTGAATGGAGTAGGTCTTAAGATAGGAGGTCTGGGGACCCCAATAACTAACTAGAGTGAAAAAGGTTACCTTCTTCAGTTTATAGGCCTTTCGAGTCTTCTGAGATAAGAACAGAAAGTCTGATGCTCAAGGTCCACGGAGTCAGTATTAACATACATGTAAAACCCAGTTTGCAAATATTGCTACCTAAACCCAAAATCCCAAGTAATGAGGTATTTGGTACCTAGCTTAGGCTTACTTGTTTCAAACTCCATGATACGCGCTTCCCAGCACTTAGTTGAAGGCACTGTATGACCTTGGGCAGCAAAATTGAGGAGGGGAGTTGGGTTGTGCTGTTGATACTTGAAATCCTGCATGAGCTTAGTATACTACAATACTGTACCCTCACTGGCAAGGTTTGGGAAATTTAGGGTCATGCGGGGGTATTTTTAGGGCCCACAGCAGGGTCTAAGTCCATGATCTGTAGCTTTCTTTGTGATCGTTGAAGATGTCGATGTACATATGTAAATGTAAACCCTGAAACATCCCTGAACGCGAAACCTTATTACTCCAACTCAGGAAGCTACCAATTTGGTATTTGCGCTTCTAGGGTATATGCATGAATACACTCCTGCTGCAGCCATTATTATGTTGCTTCAGTCAGTCAGAGGTTGAGTCCATGCACACAGCCCGAATCACATCCTTCATGTTATTAAATATTGCTCGTAAGCCTCTTGTTCGATGGTTCGGACAATAAATAGTCTGAGGCACTTGAGTCAGAGTTGCGCGCTCCTGTGTGCATGCGGCGCAGGAAGCCAAATCTTGACCTTAGCATGGTCTAGCTGGGAGCAGACTGCTTGCAATGGTTACAGGATCCTCAAGGCAAGAGGAGATTCCCATTCGACCCTTAAACCTTCAGCCCAGATTCCCAAACCCCCACATAAAACTCAAACTCCTTAGCCTTACCTGGTGGCTAGTATGTGTACTTTTAACCCTCATTGGCCATTCACTAGCCCCAGTGATCCCCATGATTAACCTAGACACTAGGTCCCCCTGACCCAAAAAAAACCGTACACATGTGCAGCTTCAATTTTTCCATTCCTCATCACTTGCAAAGTCCAGCTAACACTCCAAGTAGATCAGATCAGGATTTGGAATGCCTTTGCCGAAGAGGCGGTCTGGAATCGGAAGGCAGTCCAGGGAGTTTGTCAGAATTTTCGGCTGACGCCTTAGGGTTTCAGATTTTAAGGTTTAGGGTTTAGGGTTTAGGGGTATAGAGTTAGGATTTAGTGTTTGGGTTTAGGGCTGAGGGTTTACGGCTTATGGGATTCAGGGAGCATAGGAGGGAAAAGGGTCAGTAGCTATATGGTTTATCGTAGGGATGCGCATCTCTAAACCTTAAACCCTAAACCCTACCCTAAACAACCCTACACCCTAAGTAGTTATCAATCCCCTCAGGCTTCAATAGTCCGATGTAGGTAGTATTTATAGATGTTAGCGCCCAATGTAAGTACTTGGACCCCTAGGGATGTAGCTATCTTACTTTGAGCCGCAGTTCGAGCTACAGTAGAGCAGCAACTACCAGAGGAACAGTGCATCTGCACATCTTTCTCTAAACATTTTCTATCAATGAAGCTCCATGCAAGACCCATTTGTTGAATTGCATGCGGGATGCCGGTATTAACAGTACAGGTGAACCAGCGAGACCTTGTGCCCATTCGCAGCTTTCTCAAATACATGCACGCAGCGGGGGCCAAAACGAACGTTGATTTATTGCTTTCTCATGTTTTTATTCGGAGGCCCGCTTTGAGTTTAATGCGACAAAGCGAGTGTACCTGTAGAACCTATGGGCCCTATAGCAATCACAAGTGTAAGGTATCCTCATAGTTAGAACGTATATTTCATGCGACGAAGGAACTCACACGGATGTAGCAACCCAGAGTGTCAGGTATCCCCATGATTGCTTGGAGGGTCAGGGGGACTTAGTAAGTAGGTGAATAACCCCTTCAACCAAAATGATAACCCCTCGTTATCCCAATTCTTAACAAACATACAAAGTCCCTGTGACCCTCCAAGCAACCTACTGACACTGTCACCCTCAGCCTGCAAATGGTCATTTCCCAAAATAGGGGGACCCCGATAAGACCCTAAAATACTATAGTCCTTGATTTTTTAGACCCCGGCCAAAAATGGTACCCCTAATTTTGGGAAACCCCCAAATAATTTATTCCGCTTGTGTTTAGTCGTTTTGGGTGAGGGGGTGTTTGCGGATGGGATGGGAGGTCCTCAAACTCAGTCCTGGCTCGTTTAACCCGCACATACCCAAACCCTCAACCCTAAAACCCTGGAGCTCTAGAACCTGGCTCATCCGTAGGTGATGTGCAGCAGCGACCGTCTTCTCAGCATACACCTTTTGGTGGAGTGCCTTGGATGTTTGTTCAGAAGTACAATGGGGAATACGGAGCCACCAGCAAAACTCCGCGCTTCCCAGGGCCTCCGCATGTTACGTGGTTCCTGAGGTCTCAGAATATGGTGACCCTTTTCTTTGAGGGAGTAGGACGGAGTAGAAATACCGCCTAAGGATAGCTTGGCTCTCGGGCTTCCCTGCATACTGGAAACTTGCAGTACGTAAGTTGGCACTTTCCCTAGGGGTCCAAGTATGCAAACAATACCTACATTGGGCTTTAACGTCCATAAATCGTATCTACTCTTGGCTATTTGGATCCCTAAGCCCTAAACCCTAAAATCTATACCCTAAATCTCTATACCCTAGGTTTATGAACCCATTTTAAGATCTAGGATTCCCCGTGCAAGGTTTGGCATGTTTCCGGTACTATCGTGGCGGGCTCCACTCAGCTCTCACAAAGGACCCCAAGTACTTGATAATAGTAATTATAGTACAGGTTTTGGGTAAGTATATGATTACTAGGTACTTGGAACCTGTTTCTACATCTATACATTATACTCATACTTCCATTGGACTGTAAATGTCTCTACATCGTTCCTACTTGATCTGTTTGGATCCGCAGGGAAAAGGTGCTTGAAAGGAGTGAAGATTCAAAATAGTGAACGGGCCCAAATACATAATTGCCAACATTGTGGTCCAGATGCCCGGTCCATTGATGGCATAGGTTACTTGAACTGGACTATAATATTGGTGACCGGTGACCACTGCATTACTTTACCCCTACAACACATAATCCTTATAACCCCCTATGTTACCTATATAAACCCAGGTTCCATGGCATACTGCCTTCTCTTTTCCATTTGACTCTCCATTTTTCGGTATTCTTTTAGGCCCCTTTTTGAAACCGTACGTCCTAAACTCCTTAACCCTAAACCCTCAACCATGAACCCTAAACCACTGGAGGTTGATCCCTGGCCTGCCACCATCGCAAGCGGAGAGGATGGCGGCACGGGGGTTTGCTGGAGAGCTGAAGCTTCTTGGGGTTTGGGTTTGGGGTTTATCTTATTTTCTGAGGTTTCAAGTATGGGCCCTTAGGCCTTTTAGGGATTCTAGCGACCCTTAAGGGTACATGTAGGGTATAAAATAGGTATATAAGGATCCCAGGGTTAAGGGCCCATACTAGGGGCCCATGGTTTCAACCATGGATACTGGGGGTTAGTAGGAGGTCACCTCATGTTCAACATGGGGCTTTCCCCTTTCTATACGCTTTATCGGGGTTGGAGATGAGCAGGATAGAGGCTCTGGGCGTAGATAAGATAGATAGGGTCGGCACCGACATGCTTTTGGCCTTCTACCCCGTTTTCTATGGCATGGAGGTGGAAAGCAGAAGCTTACCTTGAATCAACGTTGCCGAGATCTTTCCTGTTGACATTGACATCAAAGCTTCGAAATTTAGAAGTGATGCTGGAAGCTCTGGCTTTGCGGCTAGAGAGTAGAGCCGTTAGGGATTCCGACATCTTCGCCAGCACCTTTGAATTGGGTGCATATAAACATCTGAACATGCCATGGCCCCATGTAGCAAACCTGAAATCCCTTCGCATTCTTGGGCACCCAACTTATGTACAACAAGTTAGTCTTTTGCGCATGTTTAAGAGGTTGCGGGCCATGATTTATCTACTTTTGAAGTCCATGGAGGGTTTCATTACTGAGGTTCCAGAAGGATTTGTACGATATAGGTCCTAAAGCTGGAGCCTTTTGAAATGAAGGCAAAGCCTGCTGAAAGGGGCCGGCTTGAAGGTTTAGGCGTGCCGGATCACCGTCTTCTGTTTTCTAATCTGTGGTGTTTCCAAAATTCGGGGTACCTTATACCCAACAATAAGGATCATCGCATTTTGGGGTCTATGCTGGTGTCCCCTTATTTTGGCAAACTACCGTTTAAGGCTAGACACCATGCCAAAAGAACTAGTTGCATGAGAGCCTTTTACTAAGCGCAGGTAAGATTTGGGATGCCTCACCTACTGCAGGCCAGCCCCATATCATGTGGGAAGATTTCCAACCCCGCTACAAAAGAATCAAGCCAAAAGATGATAGGGCGGCATACACATGATATGTTTTCTTCTCAAAACTATTGGCCCCTTTGGGTTAAAAAAAAAAAAAAACATGTTATGGCACCAATGTTTTAGGGGTACCAAAATACGACCCTAATTTTGGGAACTACCCATATGCATGCACCATGGGGCTGTACTTGGGGGAGGGCCAGCAGGACTTAGCAATCAAGTTACGAATGGGGATGACTGGTGTTATCACAGTGCTTTTAAAGGGTTTCCCGCATACCTACTAAGCCACCCTGACCCTCCAAGTAAAAGCTGAATTCAAAAGACCTCTGCCTCGAGCATCCCTTGCAAAACCTCAGTCCAAATCTTCCCCAAGCCCCTCCATCCCTCAAAGAAACAACCCGGAAAAAACAAGCGCGGGCTAGCTCTCGACATCTTGCGGCCCTGGACCCTAAACTTTCGACTCGAACTGTTATGCGCCATAAGTTACTAGGGTTCAGTCGGGAATAGGGGAATATGTCATATAGGGATTATACCCTCTTAGTCGACTAATCTTCTTCCTCAGCCAAGTAAACCCTTCTAACCCTGAATCTCCCTAAACCCGAAGCCCTAAACCCTGAATCTAAACACTTGGAAGCCTTTAATCTCCCTAACCCCTAAGCCTTTTTTTTCTGAAGTTAATCTTTTCCTGAGGACGCTTCAGAATTCCTGGCATCAACACCTGAAGGACATGGTTTTGGTTCAGGGTTTCGCGATTGGGGTCCGGGCAACCCATCCCTGCTTGGGGGTTTGCGGGAGCTGGCGAGAAGTAATTCAAGGTCATCTTTGGCTCTGGTGCCGTACTGGTTTATATAGGGTTTATATAGACTTTGTATTATATAGGGTTATATACGGGTTATATAG